CGCCGCGTGACCGGATCCAGCGGAAGGAGGAGGGAAGGAAGAGAGAGTGAGCCGCAGAGGCCCAACATGTCGCGGCGTGTGTTTGCTTTCGCGGTGCTGCTCTTCCTTGTTGTGTTGATGTGCTGCGGTACTTGTGGAGCCACGCCTGCAAAGGATAATGATGGCAAGAATGATTTAAGAAGTGTTCAGGGGCCGGAGAGGGTCGATCTATTTTTTTCACGGAAGAAGGTGTTGCAGCTGAGGGATGAGGTTGTTCCAGGCACGCCAAGGGATTCATTTGTTTTACCCTTTCTCGTCAGAGCTGGTGGAGTAATTGCTGCTTTTGCCGAAGGTCACATTTGGATGCCGGATATCAAGGTGGCCAATTAACTAAGCCCTTTTCTTCTGATGTTGTTGCGGGGTACATTGACTGTGCGTGGGATTGTTCCACTCTTGTTGGTGAGGTCAATAAAAGATACATGGAGCGCACAAACTGTGCTTGGTGCATCGGAGGGAAAGGAGGGTTTGGATGTTGTGCACCACTCCACAACAATCACGAAGGGCCACGGAGTGTTTCCTCTTGCGGGAGGCTCGGATGTGTCCTATGAAGGTGGGTGTTGGAGAGAGGGCGGCTTGGAGCTGGAACTGTTTGTGGGTGATGTCACGAATCCCACGGGTGGCAAGCAGAGTGAACGGATCGAATGGGGCGACCCCAAACACTCTTGAAACTGATCTCTTCTGCTTCTCACGAAGGTGAGTGGACGGAGTTTATTGCTTCTGGTGGCGCAGGTGTTGTGATGGAAGATGGCACCTTCCTGTTTCCTCTGATGGCGAAGAATGAGGCAGAATACGTTTGCTCCATGACCATTTACTTGACGGACAACGGCAGTGCCTGGGCGCTCTCTGAGGGCATGTCCCCTGCGAAATGTCTTAACCCCCGCGTCACCGAGTGGGAGGGATCACTTCCCATGATTGTTGACTGCGAGAATGGCCAGAGGGTGTACGGGTCGCGTGACATGGGGACAACGTGGACGGAGGCCATCGGGAAGCTTTTAGGCGTGTGGGTCAACTCAGGATCGGGAGACTATCAGAAAGAAAGCCTGCATGTGGATGCCCTCATCACCGCGACCATTGAGGAAAGGGAAGGTCATGCTGTACACTCAGAGAGGGCACGCCTCGGTGGAGAATAAGGCCAATCCGCTTTACGTTTGGGTCACGGACAACAACCGCACGTTTTACGTTCGACCGGTTGTCACGGACAATGCTGCGGATTGGATGCTCGCCAGCACCCTGCTGCACTCGGATGGCAGTTTGCGTCTTTTACAACGGAGGGGCAACGGTGAGGGCCGTGCCATTTTACTTTCCCGCCTGACGGAGGAAGTGAGTGCAATCAAGTCCGTCCTCAGTACTGGGGCGCAAAAGGACACTTTCTTCTCCAGCGTGTCTATACCCACGACGGGTCTGGTGGCAGTTTTGTCCGATGCGGCCAGTGATGACACGTGGAACGACGAGTACCTTTGCCTGCATGCGACGGTGACGAATGCAGTGAAGAACAACGATGGGTTCCGATTCACGGGAATTGAGTCCAGGGCAATATGGACTGTGAACACTCGGGTTAATAATGTGCGCCATGTATTGTTGAGCCACCACTTCACAGTTGTGGTGTCGGTGACCATCGAAGAGGCTCCGAGTGGGAACATTTCTCCACTGACTGCGGTGTTGGCGAACAATGAGTCCAATTGTACCATGGGACTGTCGTGCAGCCACAATAAGAAGTGGGAGACGGCGTTTGAAGGCACGACAAAAACACGGAGCAGCACTTGGGAGCCGAAGAAGGAAGAGTACCAAGTGGCACTCATGCTGCAAGGCAACAAGGCTTCTGTGCACATTGATGGTCAGTTGCTGGGGGCGGAATAGGAAGAGGTGCTGTTAACAGGTCAGAAGCCACCTGAGGTCCTGAGGTTTTGCTTTGGCGCGTGCTGTGGGCATTAATCTCATGTGACGCTGACGAACGTCTTTCTGTACAGCCGCCCACTGAACTCCACTGCGATGCGTGCACTTAAGGACAGAGACCCCGTTCCGACGAGGGAAGCGGCTCCGACACCACCCGAGAAGATTCGAGTAGTTGACAGCGTCAGAGAGCACATTGCTGGGGATATTACAGAAGAGAAATCAATGAGCACCACGCCCCTGGACACGAATTCCCATTAAAAAAAGTCACCTCGCAGTGTGTGGAGCGGTGTGAGTCCCGACGACCGCCTCGCCTCTCTCAACGACGCGAAATTGACACTGCGTGATTTAAGCGGTAACAACACCGTGCGTGTGTGCGTGTCGTGTGTGTTGCTGCTTCTACTGGGACTGTATTTGGGTGATGGCAGTCTTCTGAGCCACGGAGTGTGGATCTGCGACTCCTCACGGAGAATACATGCCGCATTGCCCGTCCTTTTTTATACCACCGTTTTAATTCTATTTTACTGCTCGTTTAGTTCTTCAATGTCTTTACTTTTCAGTGTTCTTTTTAATGTAGTTCAGCCGGAGTAATAACTAGTTTTGTTTTTGCTTTACGTGGTGTTTGGCAGCTGCGCACCGTCATGAGTGACGTGTTTCCCTCTCTTGTTTGCTTTCTTGTCGCCCACACGCGGTGCCGGCCCTTCGGCTGCGCGTTCCACGGACTGCACGAAACACGAATTGGAAGAACAGGCCGATTGCTGCATGAAATGTGAGGGATGTTTTGTGGGCTGGTGGGACAGTGCAATTCCTTTTTTTAATTTGGTTTTTCTCTTCCTTCCTGGTGCGGGCGATATGTATAAACACAAACACACGGTCGTTTTGTTGTGCTGCTCGGCAAATGAAATAAAAGTCTTGCCGAACCGATCTTCACCATATTTTTTTTTTTAATTTCTGTGAACTCTTCTTGGACTTTTACTTTTTTTTTTCTTTGGTAATTCACTGCGGCGTGCTTTTGTTGTGCCGTATCTGCTGTCACCTTGTGTTACTGTGTCTCTTTTGTTGTCCCTCTGCTGGCTGTGCTTTTGACACGCCCTTATTTCATATTCTTCTTCTCCGCTAGAGGCACTGATGGTCCGCGACGACGATTGTTTGTGCTCCCCATTGCGATGGCAGGAGGGTGACTGGGCGCCGGCCTGCTGAGTGCACTCGGAGGGGAGCGGATGGTGTGCGCCGTGCCTCATTTGTGAGTGTGGGACGCCAACCCGCCGGGGCAGGGAGAAGTGAAGGACTGCGGTATGCACTTGGATGTGCCCCGTCCCTCTCGTTGCCGCCGTGTTTGTGCTGTCCGCATGGCTCTATCCTGCGGTGCGACGTCGATGGCACGGCTATTGCATGTGTCCTTGTGCATGTGCTGTGCGGCGGGCTTCTCTTCGCCATGGCACCGCCCTTGTGTGCGGGAGAGTTGAGTGAGTGAGGGTGGTCGTTGTTTCCGCACATTGTGTTCTTCCACAAATGTGGCACCTCTCGGCCGCCTCTTGCAGTTCCCATGCCGTGTATTGAGAGAATGTGAGGGTCTGCTTCAAGTACAAGGAGGACAACGAGATGCAGTGCATGACGGCCAACCTGATCCGTGTGTGGTTGCGGCGCAGCGGGAGCGCATGACGGACTGCCTGTGCTGGGAGAGGCGCGTGTTGAAGTGAGCGTGGCGTGCCTGTGAGGGACTGAGGAGAGAGGGAATAACAGTAACAGTGACTGTGGGAGTGTGAGGAACGGTGCACGGCGAGGAGCGCTCCTCTTTTTTTTTTTTTTTTGATTGTTGTTGAACCGCGCCCACTCAAATGTTGTTGTGGTGTGTGACTCTCATTGCTGGATGGGACGGTGCGTGGTTGCGTGACTTGTCTCTCCTTTTGCTCTCACTCTGCGTTGACGGGGAGTTAGTTTGTGTTGAAGGCTACACGCAAGTGACGGGAGTGATGGCGATGATGATGACTGGCCGTGTGCTGCTGGTGTGTGCCCTCTGCGTGCTGTGGTGCGGTGCCGGCGGTGTTTATGCGAGGGACATTCTCAAAAACGCACAGGGTGGCTGCGTGGCTTCGGGAGGGTTTGGAAAGAAAAGATCCTATTTGTGGAGCGGATTTGATAAAGACGTGCCGACACCCTTTTTGCGTTCAGTTTTGCCCATTCCTGTCATACAAGCCGGAGATTCTGAAGGTGTTTCTTCCAAGGAAAATAATGGTAAAAATTTAATTTTAGGTGATGGAGTTTCTGGTGCCGAAATCACTGCAGGAGTAGGACGAGGTGGTGGTGGAAGTGATGGTCGAGGCGGTGTAAATTCTGCTGGAGAAGAAGGTGCTGGCGGCAGTCATGCTGGTTCTGTGCCTGGCGCTGGTTCCTCTCCTCCTGCTGGTGGTCCTGCTTCCGGTGGTGGTTCTTCACCTGACCGTAGTGCTAACACGGGGACCACTGTCAGTCTTTCATCCCCTTTGCAACGTGAAGCCCAACAAGAAGTTTTGCAAAGTGATGAGGCAAAGAATCAGAGTCGCCAGTTGCTCGACGGAAAGGCACCGGATACGCCCGTCGCTGAAACGCAGTCACGGGGCTCTGGTCCAGCAAGGGGCCAAGGTGTTGACGACACTTCTACATTGAGTGGAAAAGAGCAGCACTCTTCGGAAGAACCAAGGAAAGAAGATGGGGATTCGGACACACTTCAAACAGTGGACTTGGCAGAGGATCCAAATACAAAAATAGAAAAAAAAGGAAAAGTCTTACCGGAATTATCAAAAGCAACACTGCCGGAACCTCAAGATGAACATCCAACAAAAACTCCAGAAAAAGAGAAGAAAGGCAGCCAGAACACGAGTGCATCCACGGATTCACCTGCAAAACAAGAAGGAAATAACGAGGATCCTGTATCCACTTCAGACACTGCGGAGAGCGTATCAACTGGCAGTCAAGAACAAGCAGCAGCGACATCTTCAAATGAAAGCTCTTCCCCACTTCAGAAGGAAACATCCATTGAAAAGACTACTGTGGAGAATTCTCAACCTTCCGATGGTGCACAGACAGAAAAACGCCAAAGTGGAGATAAGGAAAAGGTTGGCGACACTGACGGCAGCACCGCGGTCTCCCACGCCACCTCCCCTCTTTTGCTTCTTCTTCTTGTTGCGTGTGCGGCTGCTGCTGCGGTGGTGGCCGCGTGAGAGTGAGGGAGAGAGAGCCGTGCACCGCCCGCACACACACTCGTCCTTCTCACTCTCTCTGTGTGTGTCCCCTTGCATGGACTCTCGCCCTCACCTCACCCCACGAAGCACACACATAATGTGCCCATTGTATATATTGCATGCACACCCATGCATGCCCGTTGGTGCTCTCTTTTGCACCACACGCACCGCTGCCGTCCTGCCTGGCTGCATGGGCGGAGCACCGTAACTGTTTCTGTTTTTTGTTTTCATTGCATTGAGTGGGCGACCTCTCTCTCTCTCTCCCTGTTGGGCTTTACGGGAGCAATGAGAGTGTGTGCGCTGGTCGTCCCACGCTTCGGCTTCTTGTTTTTGTTGATTTTTTGTTTCTGTTGTGGTTGAGTGCATCCATTCCACTTTTCTTTGATCGGCGGTTTGCTTTGACTGTGGACAATTTAATCTTCTTTTGTTATTCCCATATCATTTTTTTTTGTTTTGAGGTGTCAGCCTCTTTTGTCCTTGTGAGGCCACTAAGTTTTTTCTTCTACATACGCCATGCGTCAGTTGGTCCACGTTAACCCGTGGCTTGCAGCGCTTCTGGTGCTGCTTTTGGTGACGCGTGCGAAGTGATTTTCTAGCGGATGCTTTGCTGTCACCCTGACGCATCCCTGCTTTTTCATTGACTATGTGGTGCGTACCGACGGCGCGTGGGCGACTCCGGCTGTGGTGAGGGTCGTGCCCCTCACAGCGCAGGATGTGTCGCAGGTGTGCGGCGTTGCTTGTATGAACCGATGGGCGCTTGTCCGCATCAAGACGTCAAGAAGGATCCCTGATGAGAGCAGGAGGCACTGCGGCCTCTCCTGGCCCCAGCGATGGGGTCCGCACCTTGTCGCGGTGCCGGAGCTCTGGTTGCGTATAGGAACTTCGCAGCAGGGCGTTGCTGCGAGCACGACGGGGACCAAGACGACTCCACCCCTCGAGAAGGTTCCACGCCAATGCCCGGTGCGGGAAGGTGAAGCGGTCTGCCTGCAGGCTGTCGGACAAAACTGCACGGCCGTTTCGCTGCGGTCACTCCGTTGATATCACCCGTAGCGGTGACGTCCACAAGAACCCTGGCACCGAGGATGGATGGCTACATCAATATTTGGCAGCGTAACACTGCAGGCCTCTCGTCCGTAAAAAAAAAATGCATTTGCTGCGCGATGGGAGCTGCATCAAACAGACATTTTTTTTTCCAGGAAATGAATAACCGTGGTGAAGTAGCGACGAAAGTTTCTGGCTATAATGGCTTTCCTTCAGGCCCGCACTGGGCGCGGTGGTGGCGTTGCCATTCAGGTGCGTCACTCTCTACCGTGCAAGCGCCTGTCGCTCCCTGGCACAGACCTCCTGGAGACCATCGCTGTCCGTGCATTTCCACAGCGCTGTTCCAGCATTTGCGTGCCGAATCTCTACAACCCTCCCCACAGCAACTGTTCAAAGCCCTTTATTTATCAATATCGTCCGCCACTTAGGACCCGCTGCGATTATTGCGTGTGAATTGAATTTACATCATGAGCTTTGGGACAGCCATACACCACCAATGACTGGAGGGGAGGACTTCGCCGCTGTTTTAATCGATATGGATTTCGGGCTGGCAAATGACCCGACGCAGGCAACACGGATCACACATCGTAATGTCTTGTCCCCTGACGTGACTGCGTATTGCGCCCTACGCGTTTCCCACTGGAAATCCACTCCCTACATGGATTCGGACCACCGCTTGATATCTTACTTGGTAGGGATGGACGATGGCATCCCGCGAGTAGCCAATACGCTGCCTCGACGGAAGAAAGCCGCATTCGCCCTGCGCAAAGCGGATTGGCCTTCTTTAACCTCGTTGTGTGAAACACTCCTTGCCACCGCGCCCACATGGTTGGAAATCCGCAGAGGTATCGTACGAGCGGCTGAGTGCCATACCCCGCGCGGCAGCCGTGAAAGCCCCAAAACGATCTGGACAAACGAAATGGTGCAAGCCGAGGTCGTCGCAGAAGCGGCACACAAAGCACACACATTGCCTCGCCTGGAGACAGCCTACTTTGAGCCGAATGTGCCCGAAAAAAGGAGGAAAGAAATCAAGCCTTACGCCGTGGCTTCTCCATGCCGCTAGAGGTCCGTGCGAAAAAACTTGGAGCCCTATCCATCCCAAGCTGGCGATATCTTTGCGCCATGGCGGCGCCGCACCCTCATCCTCTGGAATCGGTTGTGCTCCGCACTGATTTTGGCCGCGTTTGCGCCCTGCCTCGGCAACAGACAAATCTGCTCGTCCGTCATTTTTTGCGGGTTTCACGTGCCACATCACCTTATGCTGCTGCTGCTGCACGCCGCACTCCTTTGCCTCCTGGTGACTGGGAAATGGATCGGCCTTCCACGCCGTGTGAACTCGACGTGACCATCCGTGACTCATTGCTCGGCTCAGCCCCTGGCCCCGACAACATGTTGAATGAATTCCTGCACCATCTCGGGCTTTTTGCGCGCGGCACTCTTAGAACGATGATCCACAACTCCTTTGCAAATGACAGCCTGCCTGGCTCCTGGAAAATTGAGGACAATATTCGCATTTCCCAACCCGGGAAAGATCCATGCCGCCCAGAGAGCTACAGACCTATCACGCTGCTCTCTGTTTTACCAAAGTTAACCGAAGGGATGATTCACCGCCGTCTGTCAGCGTTATTGCCGCACCACTCACGTCAATTTGGACTTGCACCTTCGCGTTCTACATGGGACGTGGTGACACTTGTTATTGGTGAAATTACCCGTGGATTGAATGAGTTCAGCACTGTGGAGCATGCGCGCCCTGGAGGCGGCGCCTCCACACGACACCCTCGTCGCCATCGCTCGTAGTCTTGATTAATTTTTTGACTGCGTTCGACACTGTTGGCCATGGGAAATTATTTGGAACGCTCGACAGAATTCCGCGCCTTGGCCCCCGAACCAAACGCTGGCTGCACAACTACCTGCTGCGCCGCTATGTTAGGGTATGCACTCGCGAACAGCACTCCCGGAATCAACTCACCCCAGCCGGACTACCGCAAGGCAGCGCCCTGCGACCCCAACTCTTCCTCCACTGTGTGGATGACCTGCTGCGCCGCATGGACAACATCTATTCTGCCTCCGCACTCATGTACGCTGACGACCTCACAGTTGTTGCCTCAGGTGCGGGCACCCATGCATGTGCTGCGGCAACGCGAATTGCCCTGTCCCTTATAACGGCATGGGCTGCTGAGCACAACTACAAAATCAACGTTGATAAGAGTGAAGCTGCTCTATTCCACATCTCTTCACACACACGGTCTGACGATGAAATGGTCAATCTCCATCTTGGCAATGGGAAACTACGTATTCAGTCATGCCCAGTACGCTTGCTGGGCACCACGATTGACCGACTTCTTAATTTTGATTACGCACGCTTCCACCGCTGCAAAGGAAATCAAGCTACGCTGCTATCAGCTGCGGCTGGTTGCACGGGCTGTTGCGTCCCATCGCACCATGCAATCCTTTTTGATTGGATACGTTCATAGCGTGTCACTGTATTCTGGCGATGCAATTGTCCCATGCCTTGCCCCCACCTACCTCCATAATATGGAAGTACGGTATCGCAAAAGTTGCAAAACATCCCTTGGCATTAACGCATCAACGGAGAATACATCGGTATATTTGAAGGCTAATCCTCTCCCGCTCCGGAAGACACTCTGGCTCCGTGTACTCGCACAATACGAACGCTATTTACGCCTCCATGATTATGAGGATTTGCGTTCCCTTATCTATTCGGAATGTATGCCGCCGTCCATGCATAATAAGGCGGCGACATCAATTCCGCTCCCGAGAGATGTTGTTATTAATGAATTACGATGCGTCAGTAACATTATTGGGATGCCCCACAACCACAATCGTGCTCCTCTTACCCAACACCGAATTATTCCCTGGAACACCGTGAGTTGTAATAAAGTGAGATTTTATCAGCCACTTTTTGTCCAAGGCGTCTGATGATGTCACGCGCACGGCTTTTGATTCCATTTACTCCTTTCTATGGGATTAAGATTTTGAATCATGGACGGTCGCTTCTCCATCTCTCGCTGGACTCGCATCCGGGTCCGCTGCACTATTATACGGCCCCACAAAGATAAATAATCTCCCTGTGGAGGTCCATTGTGCATCAGCTGGCAGGCTCGCATGCTCGTAGAGAGCAGAGTGCCTTGCCATTAAAAATGGCTTTAGACATCTCATACCTCCTCGTCTGGGAAACATCCCAATCGCCCACACGAATACTGGTGGCTACGGAGTCCTCGTCGGCAATTGAGGCACACCGCGCCGGTCCATTGGCCGTGCGAGACCACGTTACCGAAGAAATTTGGATTATGCTACTTTTCTTGGTGAGGCGAGGTCACTCTGTAGAATTTATGTTCTCCCCATCAGACTGCGGTGTGCCATGCAATGAGGCCGCTGAGAAAGAGGCCGCGGTTGCAAGTTCCCTCCCCACAATGGCGTATCCCAACCTGGCACGTGGACTTCCTTGCCGCCGTTGAGAGGTTATGCTGGAAGGAAGTCCAGGAGGAAGAAGAAGGCGCACACACCACACTACAGGCGCTCGTCGGTATAGCGAAAACTCTATTAATTGTGTCCGGCCAAATGTTGTGCCACGACCCGCAGCTCTGCGCACAACTGCGATGCGACTCCTGCCCACTCTTCGGTAGAATGGCACACGCCCTGCAGATTACAGGCAGCCCTTTATGTCGGTAGCGCCGTCCCTCCCTCACCGAGGAGATCGACCCGCTCCTGCCTCCGGAACCTCCACCTGGCGTGTCGACGGCAACTCCTCGTAGAATGACGAGCAGCGGATCAACGTCGCCCTGCCTGATCTGCGGCAGAGTGCACTCGTCCGTCCACAATGTGAGGGTACATGCTCGACGTGCGCATCCTGGTGTTCCAATGGTCGAAGAACGCCTCGCATGCGGATGCCGCAATGGCGCCACCGTCTTCCTAACAGGCGCCTCGCGCACAGGTCTCCACCGAAAGTGCCAAGCACGCCAGCAGACCAAACACGCAGGAAGCACAACCGCGGGTAATCAATATGGAACAGGCTCCTCCGCCGCCGCTTCATCACAGACGCCACGGGCTGCTGATCCCACATCCCCACTGAAAACGGGAGACTCCGCATCATCCACTGTGGGAATGCCCCGTCGTTGGGAATTGGGCGTGCTACTTTTTAGGACTGCCTCAGCCCGCACGACGGCCCCTATGAGACGGAATACTTGCCTCGTTGCTACGGACGGCCCTTGCGCTGCACCTCCTCATGTGTGTGTGCGTACCCTCCGTGAGGGGTGCCGACAAAACGGACCGCTCTCGCCGTGTGTGCATGCGGTGGAGCCTTGTGTGCCGCTCCTGTTTGCTTCTCCCTCCTCCATCTGTGTGTTGTTGTTGCGGCAGGGCTGTGTGTGTGTGCCTGCTGCCGTGGATTAGAGTGTTTGTCGTGCGTGGTGTGCGGCGTACGGTGCATGCCTGGCTGCTGCCCTCTCCTCATGTGGTTTGCCCTCTGTGTGTGTGTCTGCCGCACCTCTCGTCTCCCCTGTTGCTCTCCATGTCCCTCACTGTGCAGATCAGCTCCACACCACTGAACGACCACACTCACGATGTTGACGTGCCGTCTGCTGTGCGCCCTGTTGGTGCTCGCCCTGTGCTGCTGCCCGTCCGTGTGTGTGACAACGGTTGATGAGAATCAGGATGTTGCAAGTTCAGACACTCTTGCGCCAAAGGCATCAGTCGAGACGGAACAGACATCAGGGACGCCCGATAATCTGAAGGGAGGAAGCCAGAACAATGCGGGTCAGACGTCCAATCCGACGACTGATAAGGAACAGACACTAGAATCTCACAGTGCGCCACAGACACACGATGGTGCGCCCGTTACGGCGGTGGGACAAATTACAACCAATCCGGAGCAGCCACCTACTTGGGTCACTGAGTCGGCAAACAAAGCGAAAGAGAGGCCCCTTAATTTGGAACTGACAGGTAAAGCCGATGCGCAGCAGCCAACAAGTGTGACTGCTATAATGAAGGTATCAGATAGCGATGCCACTGCGCCAGGTACAACGACTACCACAACAACCACCGCGCCAGAGACACCAAGTAATACGGCGACGAATACAGAGGCGCCAACCACGACGACGACTACCACAACAACAACCACAGAGGCACCAATCATTACATCTACGGAAGCACCAACCACGACGACCACCCGAGGGCCGTCACATCTTCGCGAAACTGACGGCAGCCTCAGCAGCTCTGCGTGGGTGTGTGCCCCGCTGCTGCTTGCCGTATCCGCGCTGGCGTACAACACTGTGGGCTGAAGAGGTGTATGCGGGCTGTGCGTGCCAGCACTCAACGGCGGGGACATGTGGACGTCTACTGTGGTCCGATGTATAAAGTAAGAGCAATTATGATGATTGTGTTTTGCTTCCTTTGCTTCCGCTGTCCTGCTGTGTGCTCCGCGTTGCTTCCCACATCCGTCACGTTGAACGCATCCCAAACATACGCATACGCACGACACGCACACAACTGTTTGCGTGGACACACTGTTGAGAATAGAGGCGTGCGCGCTGGAGCCATACTGTGCAGCTCTTTTGTGTGTTTTTACTGTTTTACTTTATTGCTGCCTGTTTACTTTTGTTTTTTCCTTGGTTTCTGTGTTCTTCTTTACTTGCAGCGCATTGTGTCTTTTTTCACTTTCATTGGTTCTATATTTCTCATGAAATGCGTGCTGCTGCTGCTGGTGTTTGCTACTGTGCCGTGTCTCCCCTTTTACTTTCACTCTGCGTTGACGTGGAGTTAGTTTGTGCTGAAGGCTGCACGCAAGTGACAGGAGTGATGGCGATGATGATGACTGGCCGTGTGCTGCTGGTGTGTGCCCTCTGCGTGCTGTGGTGCTGTGGTGCTGTGTTGACTGTGGTGGCAACCGATGATTTTATCATTGACGAAAATACTGAGCAGAAGATGGTCTTACTTTGGTATAATATCTACAACAAAGAATGCGAGGAAAAAAATAAGGAGAATGGAAGTTTGAATGATTCAGCGATGAAGAGCTGTATGCGTACATCTATGAAGGAGATTTGTGGCGTTTTTTATAATGATACTTCGGGTGAAACCCCTGACCCTGAATCTGACCGTATTTGCAAGGAGTACACTGGCGATCCAGTTGAGGCCGCAGAATCCTCAACACCGCAAGACAAACCGTCGCCTGGTGCGGAAACACCGGTGGCAGCACCAACTCCAGAAACATCGAAGGACGAAGCAGAGGAAATGGGATTAACACCGGGGATACCAGCGGGTGATTCACCAGCAAAACCAACAGAAGGGCCACCACTGCCTTCAGCTGCCATCGATGCTGCCAGTAATGAGACTCAAAAGGGCATTACAGAGGTGATGCCGAAGAATGCACCGGAATCCAACGCCACAAGGAAGGAAGAAGAAGAGAAAAGAAATGAAAGGAATCACAATAACACGAAGACAACACCACTCGACGCCGATGCAATGCAACGTATCACGTCGAGTGCAGACAGTGACAGCAGCACCGCGGTCTCCCACGCCACCTCCCCTTTTTTGCTTCTTCTTCTTCTTCTTGTTGCGTGTGCGGCTGCGGCTGCGGTGGTGGCCGCGTGAGGGTGAGGGAGAGAGAGCCATGCACCGCCCGCACACACACTCGTCTTTCACTCACTCTCTGTGTGTGTGTCCCCTTGCATGGACTCTCGCCCTCACCTCATCCCACGAAGAACACACATAATGTGCCCATTGTATATATTGCATGCACACCCATGCAGGCCCGTTGGTGCTCTCTTTTGCACGACACGCACCGCTGCCGTCCTGCCTGGCTGCATGGGCGTAGCACCGTAACTTTTTTTTGTGTTTTGTTTCCATTGCATTGAGTGGTCGACCTCTCTCTCTCTCTCCCTGTTGGGCTTTACGGGAGCAATGAGAGTGTGCGCTGGTCGTCCCACGCTTCGGCTTTTTTTGTTGTTTTTTTCATTGTTTTACTTGTGTTGTGGTTGAGTGCGTCCATTCCGCTTTTGTGATCGGCGGTTTGCTTTGACTGTGGACGCCTGAATTTTTCATATTGTTTCCATATTGTTTTCCTCTCTTGTTAAGGAAGTGTCAGCTACTCGTATCCTTCTAAAGCCGCCACGCTCTTTCTCCAAATACGCCATGCGTCTGTTGGTCCATGGCAGCCAACAGTTGACTGCAGCGCTGCTGGTGCTGTTTGCGATGATGCCTGCGGTGTGATTGCTAGCGGATGCTTTGCTGCTACTCTGACGTATACTTGCGTCTTTGATTGTGTGGGGCGTCCGACGTCGCGTGGGCGTCTCTGGTGATAGTGAGGCACGTGCGTCCCAAAGCGTCGGATGCGTCGCAGGTGCACAGCGCCGTTTGGAATATCCGGTCGGTGTCTGTTTCCGTGAAGGCGTCCACAACGGCCCCGTATGACAGCAGGAGGCACTGCGGCGTCACTTGGTGTTGCGCAGCGACTTTATTTGACGATGCCTTTGATTTGCGTCTCTTGGGGCTTTGGTGGGAGAATGCGGGAGGTTGAGGGCATTAGGACTGAATTCATTTGAGTGGCTGCGTTCCATTGACTTGCGGCCAGTTGTGGCACTCTTTGGGGTTTGGCAGGTCGTCTCTTTTGTTTACTTCCCACCACACCACGTGGATAACACTGATCCAAATAACATTTGTCTGAGTGCGTGTGAGCTGCTGCCGTGCGTGGTGCGTGGAATATTTGATTGTGTGGGGAGGTGCATGGAGTGACGAATACCTCTGTTTGGCGTGTCGCGGTGTGTCGGAATGATGTTCGGATGACATGTGAGGGGTGTCGCTTGTGATTTGTGTGTCTTCCCTGGTGGAGCCGACATGTGTGCAGGGATTGTGGCATTGCTGGCTGGCAGCTCCACGTCACTTTTCGGCATTCCTGGATGCGCTGAGGAATGACGGCTGGCGACCAGCGTGTTGGTGCTGCTGGTCGGAATAAGTGCATCGGGAATAGGCCGTTTTCTCTTTTCCATTCTGGAGCCGATGAACTGGCACGAGGGCACCGGCTGCAGGCTGCCTGTCAGCACGTGTGAGCAGCGGGTCCATGCACACACCGACGCTCATCGCAAGAGCTTGTGTGATCACAGTGGCCTTTTGTGGCGTGCTTTTGTGGGCGTCAGCCCATCGAAGAATGTGTGAAGCAAACGGCTGACTGCACACGGGGAAAATAAGTGCGTGCACTGTGCCGTGTTTCAGCGTCGATGGCAGGGCGGCAGGAAGCCCGTGCTGGCAATCGAGATCTTTGCGTCGCGAGGGATGTCGGTGTTGATTTTGTGTCGTCGAGGGTGAAGTGATTTTGCTGCTGCCCGTGTGTGTGGCCACTCCGGCAGAGGGCGGACACAACAGGGAGGATGCAGGCGCTGCGTGTGTGTGTGTGTGCAGGTGCCATGCAACAACGTCACAACAAACATGCTGCGACTCGGTGACCCTCACATCGATGTGGTCCTCACGAACAGCCGAGGCACGGCCCACATCGATGCACTTAGTGGACGGAGTGAGGCATCTTTTGAGGCGCTGCAGGGAACAGGATGTGTTGACGCAGCCACGACGTGCATGGAGTGTCACGATGGCATAGTCAGCTGTGGCTGGTGGAATGTTTACTTCTTGGAGGCAACAGAGAGAGAGAGGGAGAGAGCTGCTCCTGCTGCTGGCGTCGTTGCTGCCTCTTGTGGCCTCCCATGCCGATTATTGTCTGTCCGCCGATCATAGGTGCTGTGCCTCCACTAGTGACGTCGTCTGCGGGCATTTCACAGCACCAGTGAAACACACATCACGTCGCATGCTTTGGCTGTGGATATGGTGTCGTGAGTGCAGCCGGCATTGTTTTGCCCGACTCCTTTTCACTGCTTTGCGACAAATAGATGCGTCGCCGCTCGAGTCATTCACTGCAGCTCCGTGTGTTGTACTGCCAGCACAAGACTCTCTTGTTGTGTGTCGCCTGGCTGACAGTCAAGCACCACTGCGTTGGGACATGCAAGGATGTGGACTGCCGCTCACGGTGTTGGGCACCGCTGTTTGAATGCGGCGGCCACACGAGCGGATGTATTGTGGCACAATCAAATGCGTGAAATACGCGGAATCACAGCGGCTGCAATAATATCAACGGTGGGGCACCACGGAGTATGTGAAAGAGGGTGATGCATGATGAATCACAGTGGGCGGCATGCGAGGGAAGTGCACCGCGACAGAGCGTCATCCCGCCCTCAGCCTGCAGGGGAATGTACACCCAGAAGAATATATGGACGAGACACCACCAAACACACATGCCCTTCCATGCACCAATAAATAGGAGCGAAGGTGCGTCCTGGTGTGTGGGAGTCCACTCACATATTTACATTTCCACCGCAATAAACGGTGAGGAATCAGGTGTCACAGCGACGGAAGGGAAAACAAACGTCTATTGCAACAATTTGACGGCGAGAAGCAGGAAGAACAAAAACCGAATTGTTGGCTGCACTTCCCGTGGACCAACAATCCACGTGGTGTGCGGGGATCATTCTCTTTTTACTGTTACTTTCTTTTGTGTTGCTGTGCGCGCTGCACCTCCTCTTGTGTGTGTGCGTACCCTCCGTGAGGGGTGCGGACACAACGGACCGCTCTCGCCGTATGCACATGCGGTGGAGCCTTGTGTGCCACTCCTGTTTGCTTCTCCCTCTTCCATCTGTGTGTTGGTGTTGCGGCAGGGCTGTGTGTGTGTGTGTGCCTGCTGCCGTGGATTGGAGTGTGTGTCGTGCGTGGTGTGCGGCGTACGGTGCATGCCTGGCTGCTGCCCTCTCCTCATGTGGTGTGCCCTCTGTGTGTGTCTGCCGCACCTCTCGTCTCCCCTGTTGCTCTCCATGTCCCTCACTGTGCAGATCAGCTCCACACCACTGAACGACCACACTCACGATGATGATGTGCCGTCTGCTGTGCGCCCTGTTGGTGCTTGCTCTGTTTTACTTCTCTTCCGCGCGAGCTACAGCAAGCGAGGTTAAACCTGAACAAGAAGTTAATGTAAAGGTTACTGTTTCAGAAGTGCTAAATGAGCTCGGTGGGGAACATAATTCGGATACGGATGTTGATGAATTACGGTCAGGAAAAACGGCGTCCGGTGCGGGACATAATGCAAATGGGATGCTTCCTAGTAACTCAGAACCACTAGTTCCGATGGTTGATACGCTAAAGTCAGAAAGTCCGAAGGATGTTCAGGAGCAGGCACTTGATGGGGTCACTGAGGCGGCAAAAGGAGGAAAAGAGAAGCCCCTTAATCCAGAAGTAACAGATACATCCGATGCGCAGCAGTCAACAAGTGTGACTGCTGTAAGGAAGGTATCAGAGAGCGAGACGACTGCCGCAAATGCGACGACCACTACTACCACGACAAATGCGCCAACTACAACGACGACCACTGCGCCACAGGCAACAGGTATTACGACTACAGCGGCGCCAACGACGACGACCGCCAGCGCACCGTCACATCTCCGCGAAATCGACGGCAGTCTCAGCAGCTCTGCGTGGGTGTTTGCCCCGCTGCTGCTCGCCGCATCCGCGCTGGCGTACAACACTCTGGGCCAAAAGGGAGGGTGGGCTGTGCGTGCCAGCACTCAACGGCGGGGACATGTGTACGTCTACTGTGGTCCGATGTATAAAGTAAGAGCAATTATGATGATTGTGTTTTTGCTTCCTTTGCTTCCGCTGTCCTGCTGTGTGCTCCGCGTTGTGCCCCACATCCGTCGCATTGAACGCATCCCAGACACACTCCTATGCATGCGCAGCGGAGCCCTGGGCTCGTTTCTTTAAATATCTCTTTTTTCATTTTTAAGTGTTTTGCGAGTTTTGGATTTTTAATGGCTACATTTGTCCAATGGCTTGTGCGCAGCGCTAATGCCGTTCATTACTGTGCGTGACTCTCATTGCTGGATGGGACGGTGCGTGGCTGTGCGAATTGTCTTCTATCCTTTCACTCTGCGTTGACTTGTTGTTAGTTTGTGCTGAAGGCTGCACGCAAGTGACAGGAGTGATGGCGATGATGATGACTGGCCGTGTGCTGCTGGTGTGTGGCCTCTGCGTGCTGTGGTGCGGTGCCGGCGGTGTTTATGCGAGGGATGTTGACACCAACGCACTGGGTGGCTGCATGGCTTCGGGAGTGTTGGGTGAGAATGGATCCCACATGCCTGACAGATGTAATAAAACTGCGATTACGGTGCCTTTGCGGTCAGTACTGCCCATTACTGTCGTCGAAGCCTCGGCTGGAACAGATAATACTGCCGTTGTAATACAGAAAGATTTGAATTCAAGTGAGACTTCCAACGCTGGCGTTACTGCTGCTGTTTCATCTGCTTCAGATGCTCCTGATGGTGGTTCTGGTGCTTCTCCTGGTGCCGGGGCTCCTGCTGCTGCTGCCGCTCCTACTCTTCCTACTGGAGGTCAAGACAACGGCAGCATTCCTCCTGGTCCTCCTGCTGCTCCTGTAGTTGACCCTTCAGCTGGCAGCAGCGGTGGTGAAGCGGGGTCCTCAGGCAGTCATCCAACTAACACAACAGGGGACTCTTCAACAGGAGATCAGACGCCTGCTGCAGCAGCGGCTCACAACTCCTCGCCACCCGAAATACCGGTAGAAACGAAATCCAGCACTGGACACACACGACAAGAAGAAGAAGAAGAAGAGGAAGAAGAAGATAATGAAAAGCAGCAGCAAAGTGATGAAGCACAAGTCCAACAACATCAACAGCACGAACACCCCGCGGAAAATGGCGAAGAATCCGCGAAGGATAAAAACGCCCTTCGTACAAATGCCACCGCAAATGCCGGCGACAGTGACAGCAGCACCGCGGTCTCCCACGCCACCTCCCCTCTTTTGCCTCTTCTTCTTGTTGTTGCGTGTGCGGCTGCGGCTGCGGTGGTGGCCGCGTGAGAGTGAGGGAGAGAGAGCCGTGCACCGCCCACACACACACTCGTCTTTCACTCACTCTCTGTGTGTGTCCCCTTGCATGGACTCTCGCCCTCACCTCATCCCACGAAGCACACACATAATGTGCCCATTGTATATATATTGCATGCACACCCATGCAGGCCCGTTGGTGCCCTCTTTTGCACGACACGCAGCGCTGCCGTCCTGCCTGACTGCATGGGCGGAGCACCGTAACTTTTGTTTTGTTTTGTTTTTGTTTCCATTGCATTGAGTGGGCGACCTCTCTCTCTCTCTCCCAGTGTGTGTGTGTTTTGCTTTACGGGAGCAATGAGAGTGTGTGCGCTGGCCGTCCCACGCTTCGTTTTTTCTTTTTTGTTTTTTTCATTGTTTTACTTGTGTTGTGGTTGAGTGCGTCCATTCCGCTTTTGTGATCGGCGGTTTGCTTTGACTGTGGACGCCTGAATTTTTCATATTGTTTCCATATTGTTTTCCTCTCTTGTTAAGGAAGTGTCAGCTACTCGTATCCTTCTAAAGCCGCCACGCTCTTTCTTCTACATACGCCATGAGTCTGTTGGTCCATGGCAGCCCACGTCTTTTGGCGCTGCTGGTGCTATTGTTGATGTCTGCGATGTTATTTGTCGGCGGGTGTCTCGTTGTCAGCCTGACACATCTTTGGTTCCTTGACTATTTGTTGCGTACGGACGGCGCGTGGGTGTCTCTGGTGATAGTGAGGGACGCGTGTCTCAGAGCGCAGGATGCGTCGCGGGTGTGCGGCGTCGTTTGGAAGGACCGATGGGTGACCATCCGCATCCAGGCGTCATCAGCGGACTGTGAGGACAGCATAAGGCACTGCGGCTTCAATTGGTGTTGCGCAGCGACTTTATTTGACGATGCCTTTGATTTGCGTCTCTTGGGGCTTTAGTGGGAGAATGCGGGAGGTTGAGGGCATTAGGACTGAATTCATTTGAGTGGCTGCGTTCCATTGACTTGCGGCCAGTTGTGGCACTCTTTGGGGTTTGGCAGGTCGTCTCTTTTGTTTACTTCCCACCGCAGCACGTGGATAACACTGATCCGAGGAACATTTGTCTGAGTGCGTGTGAGCTGCTGCCGTGCGTGGTGCGTGGACTATTTGATTGTGTGGGGAGGTGCATGGAGTGACGAATACTTCTGTTTGGCGTGTCGCGGTGTGTCGGAATGATGTTCGGATGACATGTGAGGGGTGTCGCTTGTGATTTGTGTGTCTTCTCTGGTGGGGCCGACATGTGTGCGGGGATTGTGGCATTGCTGGCTGGCAGCTCCACGTCACTTTTCGGCATTCCTGGATGTGCTGAGGAATGACGGCTGGCGACCAGCGTGTTGGTGCTGCTGGTGGGAATAAGTGCATCGGGAATAGGCCGTTTTCTCTTTCCATTCTGGAGCCGATGAACTGGCACGAGGGCACCGGCTGCAGGCTGCCTGTCAGCACGTGTGAGCAGCGGGTCCATGCACACACAGACGCTCATCGCAAGAGCTTGTGCGATCACAGTGGCCTTTTGTGGCGTGCTTTTATGGGCGTCAGCCCACCGAAGAATGTGTGAAGCAAACGGCTGACTGCACACGAGGAAAATAAGTGCGTGCACTGTGCCGTGTTTCAGCGTCGATGGCAGGGCGGCAGGAAGTCCGTGCTGGCAATCGAGATCTTTGCGTCGCGAGGGATGTCGGTGTTGATTTTGTGTCGTCGAGGGTGAAGTGATTTTGCTGCTGCCCGTGTGTGTGGCCACTCCGGCAGAGGGCGGACACAACAGGGAGGATGCAGGCGCTGCGTGTGTGTGTGTGTGTGGGTGCCATGCAACAACGTCACAACAAACATGCTGCGACTCGGTGACCCTCACATCGTTGTGGTCCTCACGAACAGCCGAGGCACGGCCCACACCGATGCACTTAGTGGACGGAGTGAGGCATCTTTTGAGGCGCTGCAGGGAACAGGATGTGTTGGCGCAGCCACGACGTGCATGGAGTGTCACGATGGCACAGTCAGCTGTGGCTGGTGGAATGTTTACTTCTTGGAGGCAACAGAGAGAGAGAGGGAGAGAGCTGCTCCTGCTGCTGGCGTCGTTGCTGCCTCTTGTGGCCTCCCACGCCGAT